ACAATGCAGCGAGATACATCTCGATTTTAATGTTTTGTGTTTTTTTGTCTCAATCGATGTTATAATACGATTTTATATGATTTTTAAAAAACGATAATGTTTTTATTTTTAAATAAGATATAAATATGAAGACATCATAAGGAATTGAAATTTTTTTTGATTTTAGTACCAAACTAAATATTAAAATTTTTTTTTTTATGTATTTCTTTAATCCATTCTTTTATTTTTTGTTTAATATATTTTTTATAAAAATAATAATTAAGTATGTTGTTATACTTCAATGATTATTCTAATTATATTTTAAATTTTTTATATTTAAAATGAGATGTTTATCCGCTCGATTATATTTATTTGCAGTTAGTTACACAAACTTAAACATGAAACTTTAATAAGTTGTACTTAGCATAATTTACTTATAATATTAAATTGTAAATAATATGCATCAATAAACAGTACTTCATGCATAAAAAATGGTTTTTAAGAGTTTTTGTCAAATGCTATAGTATAGATGTGTGTGTATGAATATCGTTTTTGCTTTTTTATAGGAAACAAAAAACAATAGACAAAAGAACTAAAATGATCCTTGATTTAACTAATTAACAGATTTATTATAACGACATTAGTTAGACGAACCGTGACCAAAACACATTAAATACCATGAAAACGAAATTTATAATAAACATATCTAATAAAAAAAATCAAAACATAAATTGAGTCTTTCGACTTACAGATTTTGCACGGATAATGTGTAAAAATGAAGTCAGTAAAGAATTAATGGAGGTGTGGTCATGGTCCAGATCCAGACTGTATATTCAGTAGGCATGGTTAACAAACTTTTTCAAATTAGGAAATATTGTATTCAATTTTAGACTATAAAAAGGAAAAAGGAATTTTCACATCATTTATTTACTTTGAAATATAGAAATAGAAATAAAAGTACAAATCCAAATTAGATCATATGCTTTGGGGAAGAGTTTTCTCAAGTATGGCTTGTTTACCCACTACTATTAGAGCATGTTTGTTAGCAGCTTAACGAGACTCGCAGGTTATTATGTTAGTTATATGCAGATGAGGATCCATAAGGGACTTATTGAGAAACCAACCAAACAACCACTTAGTATGTGCATTTGTAGGCTCGGTAACTTTCAATGGGAAAAAACACACATAACAAAGAAGGGAATGCCAGCACTTAAATTTCATACCAAACAGTGGTCGCTCGATGTCATCCTAAACAACACAATTTGCATATAAAATTGTCGGTATTCATTTCAAGTAACACCAAGTGCAATTAGATGTAATATCTCATCAGATTACTCTGCAAACAAGTATATCAAACTCAAATCTCCCACTAAGGTACACACACTTCATCACATGTATATATAGTCTTAAAGCTTACCACCCCTTAATGCAAGAACAAGATGAAGGACTGAACCCCCTTCAATATTGTAGTCTTTTGCTGTCTTATCATCTGCAAGCTGTTTCCCAGCATAAATAAGCCTACAAAAAAATTGAATCCATAAAATATTTATATACAGCAAAACTAACACATACTGCTTGAACCCTTGGCTAGATACTACTAGGCTAATGACCCCTTTTTAGCCCAGAATAGCTTAACAATATGCCATTTCTTGAAATCTCTCTTTTGATTCAAAATTGTGGTGTAACTGTGTATCCCCTTGGATACCTTAAAATAATCCTTTAGAAAAAATAAACTACCATGTAGCATTAAATTTGATAAAGTACAAACTGAACACTTATTTGATCAGCAAAATTGATGATTATGTGGATAAATTTTGTCAACAGAAGTGTAAAATTACAATAGAGTTGACACCTTATTACAAAGACACAATGCCCTAGGTTTCAAATAAGTTGCACAAGGAAAAGTCTGCATAATGGTGCATAACCAAGAAGTCTGCATGATGCATAATGTCGTATACCCAAGAAACCTTGTACGGCTGCTCAACTGGTAAATAGAAAAACTTGGTCTTTGGGTTCCTCTTTAGAGGTCACCGGTACGGGTCCTGCAAGGCCACTGGGGATTTTCTAGCTGTTATCTTGGGATTAGTCGAGGTGCACAAGCTGGCCTATATACCCACGATTAACAAAAAAAGTGAACCTAGAGGAAGATAGACTAAAACACATCAAAAGTTAAGTCCAAAGCTCTAATTTGAAGACCACCTAGTAGCTTTTCCAAATTAAATAGTACAAATGGTTCTTTGTCAATTAGGATAACAACAATCGCAAGCATTTTATCCCTAACTAGCTGGAGACTGGAGTGGGCTAAAAATGAGATGATAACTTGCATAAATTTAAGATATTTCTAACACTATATATTCAGTACCGATTCCACAAGATTAAGATGAAAGAAAAAAGGCCAACCTTTGTTGCACTGGAGGGATTCCTTCCTTCTCTTCAACTCGTTCCTTGATCCGCTCAATAGTATCAGTTGGCTCAATATCAATTTCAATTTCTTTCCCAGTGAGAGTCTTGACCTTGATCATGGTTCCTCCCCGAAGTCTAAGAACCAGATGAAGCGTAGACTCCTTCTGGATGTTGTAATCAGCAAGAGTTCGACCATCCTCTAATTGCTTGCCAGCAAAAATCAATCTCTGCTGGTCTGGGGGGATGCCTTCTTTGTCCTTTAATTCCAATAACACGGTTAGCAAAAGGAAACAATGGCACCCAAAGGGATTAAAAAAGGGTATGCCCTCAACCCACTTCCCAGTTCCCACCACATGCTCATGAAGGTCATGGGAAATAGCAGAAAATAGAATAATTATCACAAACTCGAAAACAGATGTACACATCAAATGCAGAGGATTTAAGTTCACATGAACATTATGCAAGATGTTTGAATTTTCTTTTAATAATAGAAGTGGTGTGATACGTTCACAGGGAACAGTAAACTGTTATGAGAACCCAGATACCTTACATCCTATCCTAATTTGAAAGACGAAAAGCAAGCATCTAAGAACTTAGGACCTCATTTTTGGAAGTTTCACTTTAACAATCAATAACAAGAGAAAATGAACTCAGGACACCAGAGAGTAGACAATATTTTAAATTACAATAATCCATCTTCATTTTCACATTCATATATTTATCTTTATTTATTGTTTTACATGGGATGATAGGAATTAAGTATACATACATGGTGAACAAGGAACCCACCAAGAAGAAAACAAGGTAAAAGAAGTAGCAAACAAAAAGGTGCAGTAAGAACAAAAAGTGTTAGGATGTATGCCTACATATATCTTAAATCATATTACAGTACCAATCTATACTAATAGTTAATAGATGACATAGTAGAAGCCTCCCAATTGATGTACCAATCAAGTTCCCAAATCACGGTTATTGTTGGACAATGCTACATGAATGAGGTAAGTAACAATAGCAAAACTATACCAAACCAAACAGACATAACCCACTCGAGTAGGGCAGGGGCAGACCTATTAAGAGGGGAATGGACTCCCGTCCACCTGCTCATTCGATTATTGCAAGAGAAAAAACATTAGACGTCTAAAAGGTGCACCCGTTTGATTTTGAGGGGTGCCCTTAAATAATCTGAAACCAAATTTATAACAGAAATTAAACAAGGGTGCAGTGGTATGGATTGATTAGCACTCTACATGCAAGATGTCATGGGTTAGAATCTTATTTCAGTTAAAACTTTAACTTTTTATCTTTTAATTTTAGATCAAACTCTTAACTTCCAAGGCAGTTTTTTGTTAATTTTTCTCCCGTTTTGATTTTATTATTTTTTTCATGATTTATTTTTCTTCTCAAATGTCAATTCATCTTAAAAATCGTGGCTTTTTATCTCATTTTCAAACAACATAGACTTATTTTAAAGATCATGATAGATTCCATTTGAAAAAAATGTATCTCATCCCCCAAATCGACATAATCAACTCTTCCATGGTCAAACAACGTTGACTTCCTCCAGGTCGGACCCACTTAAAGGTGCAACGGTCAGAGAAATTCATGGGTCCGCCACTAAAGTAGGGTCTCAAAGAGGTATGATGTACGCAAACTTACTTCAACCACTGGACTTGTCACAAGAAACCACCAACCTTAATGACATTCCACACCAACCCACCTCTAGCCTCCGTCCCCTCCCCCAACCACACTCCTATTTGCAATCAACTACCCTAATCCAAAATAGAGAAATAAATTTCCAACAAAGATCAAGATTTTTCTTAAATACAAGTGTATAACCAAGAAAAAGAGAGCCAGTTCATAGCTAACTGCTCATTTCTCATTACAAACAGAAAAATTTCATTGATGTGGGGGAAAACATCATGCGAAAATTTGTAAATATAAACGTTCCAAAAATTGTAGATTGCTTCTCCGGTCTCTTTTTTTGTTCACTTTTTTTCCTTTTCTTTGCCCACATAAGGTGAGGATGAATAGTTCCACTCAGAGATGGTAATGTCATGCAATAAGAATTACTGGGACTCCTTATGTAGGAATGCATCAGAAAGATAGCTGTATCTACAGGATGTCACGAATTATGATTTCTGAATGGGAACAGAATTAACAATATCTTTCATCCTCTTTTATCAAGATATTGTTAAACCAGTCAACAAAGTTTCTAGGCAACCCAAGCACAAGTCTAATTTACTACAAAGATATGAAGTGTTGCAAACTGCAGGCACTATCTGGCATTAATCACAATGCTTTGATGGACTGGATGTGTAAAATGTAAAAATATGAATTAGATTTAGTCAGTTTATTATATTCTCTGTTTGGTTTCAATATTAGTCATCGACCGTTATGGACTTGCATATAAGTTTAATAGCGTTGAGCTGTGAATAACAAGTTCTCTTTTCCCTTTCATTTTGTTTGTTATCTCTTATTCTGTTTCTGTTTCGTTCGCGATTGCAAATTTATACTGAGTAAATATAGTATCAAGGTCCATCTTTCTCAATTGTATTTGATCAATTTCGTTTCTTGTTCAATTGTTTTTCCTCTTTTGATCAATCAATCATCCTTTTCATTCTTCAAGATCATTCTGAAAGAAAATCATCTTCCTGAGATCCCCAATGCAACCTTCCACTTGCAGAGGGTCCTGATCAATGGGATGCACCAACCTCACGAAGCTTTACACATGCCCCACAGGGTTCAGTCTGAAACAGATCCTATCAAATATTTCATATTCTCTATGATCATCCTCATTTCTAGGGTTTCTTGCAAGATGGTTGTAGGTGATGAAAATACAGTTCTTAATGTTCTAGCAATTGATGAAATCCATCTCTCTTCTTTACATTAACAGTCCCACCTCATCTGATTTCTAAGTGTCTTACTTGAACCCAAAATTCTAGTTCGTAAAAGAAATCTATAGAAAATTTCATATTGCTATTTCCCCCAATTGCCATTGATTCATGGAACTATTCAATTTCAAGGGAGGATTCCAATTTTATGGCCGCACTTGGGCGTACAGCATGGTGTTGGTTTCTCATGGATCTTCAAAATTGTGTTGGAGGATATTAGTTACAAGTTCTACAAGGTGAAAGACATAAAACCCTAGTTTCATCACTAACAAGCATGTATCAAGATTCAAGAAGCCAAATAACGATCGGCAGAAGAAACATAACATGCCATCACAAATCAAAAGCATAAAGTAGTTGAATAAAAAGAGATAACAATTAACAAAATTAGACCTGGATCTTGGCTTTGACATTGTCAATGGTGTCACTGCTCTCGACTTCGAGAGTGATCGTCTTCCCAGTTAGCGTTTTCACGAATATCTGCATGTTTTCTCTTGGTATGTTTATCGCCAATGGCTTGACAGCAGGAGTGCGATTCTTGATCGATGGCAACACTGATATTGGGTTACGGCGTTTATCGGTTATCGCCTGAACAACGATGGAGAGACCAAGACCATGGAAGTAAATGAAACAACGAGCTCCAGTCTCCGATCTCTACTGTATCGTATTTAAGGGGGTGTTTGGATTTTTATTTGAAACATTTATATTTTTTATAAAAATTATTACCAATTTATTATAAGTTAGAATGATTTAATTTTTTCAAAAATTCTTTATCACTGGTTTGGTATTGGTACAAGTTATTTATCCAAACACTCAAAATTATTTATTACCGATGTTATACCGGAATAAGTCAATAAGTTGTTTTTATAAGCAATCTTAAACACCCTTTAAGTCGATCTGTTTTTAGCGGAATTTTGCAGTTTTTTTTTCTTTCTAAAGAGAAATTTTTATGGTTTTTATTTTATTCGACAAACTTTTTTGGTTTTTCCATCAGAAGGGATTTTTTTACCGATCTTTTGGCTGATAATAGAGTCTGTTATAAAGTCTAGTATGTGTATTTTTCATATCTTATAAAGATTTACTTATGAAAATGATTGAACGGGTGTATGTGATCCCTTTCGAGGTTTAACAGATCTGCCTCGTTTCATATTCATTTGTCGACCGAAAATCCATCTGAAATAAGCCCAATAAAACATTTATCTTTATTTATATTTGAGCTATTAAGATGAATAGTTTGTATTTTTATTTATATCGTTAGCAATAACAGTAACGAATTGAGTTTTGATAGGAACTCCAAAAAGTAGGAAATGTAGAAGCCATCTTAAACATAGTAACACCTTACTATGTGTTAGGTATGTTACTATGTGTTAAGGTGACACAGTCCAAAATCAGTAATTTCTCTCGCAACACCTAACTCAGTCATCAAAACTCCTGATAAATTGGATGTCGTATCACATAAACTAAAAGAAGAGCAAGAACAAATAGCAGTAACAACAAAGACGGATCCAAAGGTGACCCAGAAACGGATACAACAATTTACCCGGTAAGTACTAATCATGGTAAGAATCATCGCCTTCACTTATCGAGTAAGACCTTGGTCCTTGCTTTCGTTTTACCGGGTAACATTCTTGAATCTTGTCATATTCATCTGGTAAAGTAACGGTCCATTGGTGATGTTCAAGTTCTTACTTTTGATTTGGTTTTTTAAGAAGTGATAGATTTCGAGTTTTTGATTCACATGGGTTTTGTATGACACTTATTTTGAATAAATTTGCATATTTTTTATGTTTATGTTCTTGAAGTTTTCATTTTTGTTTTCGAGTGTTTATTGGTTGAAATCCAATTGATCTAAGTGTATCCAATCTGATCCAATCATTCAATGGATGTTGGATTTTCTCATATGATCCAATCCAATAACATTAGACATCCGATCTATGCCAATCTGATAATTGATTGGATCAAATTGGTTCCATCTGTTGAATATTACTAGTGGTTATCCACTGAACAGTTGTTTCAACCAATTATTTATATATTTTCTTAATTTATTAAAAACTACAACGTATAAATATCATAAAATGTTAATATTTATATACAGTTAATAATTAAATGGTGATTGAATTGGATCTCTTCAGTTTTATTAGATTATGAACTTTCATCCAAGAATTGATCGAACTAATTCAAATATTAAAAAATTTATACGATCCAATCCGATCACAATTGAGTTATTGGAGCTACTAATTCGAGTGGAGGGTAAGGTTTTGATTAGAGTGGTTCACGGGTGGGATAACCCGCTAGAAAAGCGGGCTTTGAAATACCATTCTCGAAGAAATGGGCGGACCTAGACTGACTTATTAAAAGTAATGAGTGGACATAGCAATGAAAAAAAATATTTGGGCAGACCCCCGTCAGACCTATTAATATTTTTATATTAATGAACTTTTAGAATTAATATTTCCAATTTTTTTTTTGAAAATTCTTAGTACTTATCAGTTCCTACTTAGTTATGACTCATGATAATAATATTTTTAAAAATCTTAAATTTGAAAAGATAATTACCTCAATTGATCAATTCTTTATTTTTTCATATAGTCATTTTCTTTATTGATACTTCATATTTAGTAAAACAATTTCTTTATAAAGTATGTATATTATTATATATTTACGTCAAATTTTAAGTTGAAAAAATTGTTATGTATTTTGAATTATTTTACATAACTTGTGATTTTATATAAGTTTTGTTTTCATAAAAATACAAAAAGATTTTTAAGCTCGTTAGACCATAAGTAAACCCTGTCTGTTTATAGGATGGGTATGAGTAGAGATGGCCAAATGGGCCCGGCCCCGCCCGGGACCGCCGGAGGACCGGGACCGGGACCGACAAAGGACCGGCTCGGGACCGGGATCGGTAAGGACCGGTTATGGGACCGAAAACCGGGACCGATTGAGGTTTTTGGTAGTTTCGTGGGACCGGGACCGGTTATGGGACCGACTATGGCCCGGCCCGGCCCGGCCCGAAAATTCAATTAATTTTATAAATAAATGTATTTTTATAAGAAAACGTAATTTTAATTATATTAAAACGCATTTTTAAAGTGTATTTGAGTGACCCAATTGTAAATTTTATAATGTATTAAAAATATATATCATTAGAAAAATAAAATAAAAAATCTTATTTTTTTAATGAAGGACCGGTTGGGACCGGGACCGGGACCGGCGGCCCATAACCGGTTATAAAGTACCTATACCGGTCCTATCATTTTCGACCGGCACCGGGACCGAGACCAGGACCGGTTACGCCGGGACAGGTTATGGCCGGTTACGAGAATGGTGAGTTTTTAACCCGTAAAACCGGGCTAATTTTTACCCATATTAAACCTTTTAGATAAAAAAATAGGTTAAACCCGACCCGTGTACGGCCCAAAGACCGCAAATTATTGGCTCTAGTTTTGATCTCACAGGCCCACTGTAAATATCTGGGTACAGAAGTCAGGTATAAAAGTCAGCTTACTTGGTTTTTATCCCTCGAAGAGGCGACTAGTGGGCTATCGATCAAAGAATCTCCGTTCACCACCGTCGCCGGTGAACGGTTAATATTCCGATCAATTGAATGAACTCTAACTCAACACTTCGCAATCGTTACTGATTTTTCGAGTCATCTTACATCCTAATTTCTGCTTAACGACACACAAAATGCGAAGTTCAAACGCCGGTATTACGGACGATGATGAATCCGCAACCATCTACTACGACGACGACGCCACTACAGAGACGGATATAGACCTCAGAAGTAAAGAAGACGCCGTTGAATCTCTACCGCGGTCAAAATTGACTCGGTTTCATCAAGGGGATAAGGTGTTGGCTTATCATAACCGTCGCATTTACGAAGCCAAGGTGCCGTTTTGAGACTACACTTAAAAATCTTGTTGCAATATCAGATCGATCATATTATCGTTAGAATTTCTAATCGTATCTCGTACGAACATTTTGCTTTTGTTCGAGGGAAACAATCTTATCTGATAACGATTGTGAAAATGCAATAAGCTTATTTGGATATCCTATTTTTCCGAATTTTTGACTCAGCAGTGCCAATTATCGTGTAGTTAATGTTGGTGATTTTAGTGTCCACGGTGATCTTTACTTAGGGGCCGTTTACCAAACCCTTACTCTCGTAAGTGAACACCAATGTCATTTTACCTTACCGGATGAATATGGTAAGGATTAAAAATCTTACCCGGTAAGAGCGAGACAATGACCAAGAGTATTACCCGGTAAGTGAGAGCGATGACTCTTACCATGGTAAGCTCTTACCGGGTAAATTGTTACATACGATACCTTTTTGGTGGACTAAAATCTTATTCGTTAAGTAAATGATAGTGTTAAGCTTACCGCTAAGCGCTTACCGGGTAAGTGTTTGGTAAATGACCCCTTAGTTTTTCTATGCAAGTTAGGAGGTGTGGAGCACACAATTGTATAAGGCTAGATTGATCCCGGTACAACCAAAAGGCGGGGTCAAGAGGCAGCGCCCCTGGCAGGGGTCCCGCCCGGTCTCGCGGGCTAGGGGCAGGCCGGCAGCGCCCCGGACCAAAATTTTCGTATGAAGGCAGCTTGTTGGAATTGACTCGTTTTGGTTCTTGACAGATGGTTAGTTCCTAACGGAGGTTCTAGATCTGTAACTGCTGAACCTTCGATAAATGTCTTTTGGTCTTATCTAATTTCTTCTCATAACCTTCATTTTTGCTCTGGAATCTAAGAATTTGGAATATTAAAAACCTACATTAACGTAATTTAATTTCTGTTAAATTAGATTGTTCTTCCTTGGATTATCCCATATTCAGAATTTTGTGCAACCCAAGGCTTTAGGGTCGAAATATCTGATTCGGAAAGTGATATACACGATCCAAGCAAGAATCTAAGCAATTGTGATTTCAGAAAATCATCCTATTGTCCATCTACCCCAACTGTTAAGAATAAAATTATTTAAAAAAGATTATCTATAAAATTGTATATTCTATTACGATTATGTCGTGGTAACGTATTATGCTGTAGAAGACACAAGATTAAAGAAGAGCAACCCATAACTTATTTCTTGAATGCGTATGGGCTCCTCTACGATTATCAATTGCTACTGGAGATCTACATTCTACATTGACTAGCTCACTAGCATATGCCTCCATCACTAAAGATTATAAAACTATTTAAGAAGTGACTAATCATATGGGTTTAAGACCATACATATAACGTTTTAGGATCAACATTATTATTGAAAATGTTTAAAGTGATTGTAACAAGAGGAGATTCATAGTTTCATATGGGACGTTTGAAAGATGTAATTACCGTACCGATCTTTATAGCAGGTCATAGATGTACACTAGTTTTGGTTTGTAAATTCCAATGTTCATTTGAAGTTTCATTTGGGAAGTAATAGTTTTAATGGCATTATATGTGTATCTTTTTATTAGGCTATTTGTCCCCTTCCCCCTCTAGACCCCTATGCTAGGAGTGTTATTATAAAACATAACAAAATAATAAAATGCATGAATAGTTGAAAGAAGAGAAGGAAAGAAGACCTTTGGATGATTTTTAATTACCACAGGAAGAAAAAAACATAACAATTGTAGGATGGCTGAATGTGATTGGCTGGGGGGAGATGCTTAGATTAGTACACTTGTATCTTCAAATATTTTAAAAGTTCAATGGGGTGAGAGCTGCTCCCATCTCTGGGTGTACATGACAAGCCTGGCATCACAAGTGTATTGGAAGTTGCATGGAGCAAGTATGCCAATGTGTTGTAGGTTTTAAATTGTGATACCTAAACAAATTGTGATACCTAAACAAATTGTGAATTTAGTTTATTTATCTGACCTAACATTTCACTTGGTTCTATACAGTGAACACATATAGGAGATGTTTGACTATTCACTAGCTGGGAGTCTTCACGCCTTTCTACTCTTTGGGGTAGAGGACAAGTCTGCTCCCTCCAGACAGGACATACCGGATGTGTTTGGTTTGGTTTACTAATATTGAATCATGATGCTCGTGAAAAATCGGATTTATTTTGGGATGGAGAGTGAAAATTTTAGCTAGATAAATGGTCTTTTGTAAGAGCTACCCAAGAAGGATTGGGGTTTAACCTGTGATGTTACCACTATAGATGCATGTTATTGGGGCAGTGTGCCCTGATGCAAGGGAACAATTAAAGCTCCATCAAATGTGTTATCATTTCTGACTAGGACCTAGTGAGAAGTGTAGTTAGTGCTTAACCAGGACAGTCAGGAACTTTCTTCAAGAAGTAACATAGACCTTACCTTAAAGCTAGCTACACATAGCCCTGTTTTATGATGAGAGACTTTCTAAGTTGGCTATCATTAGTCACTTCAGAAGCCGCCAACCAGAGCACAAGTGAGGGCTAGGTAAAAAAGGCTTTTCTTGCAGCAAGAGGAGCATGGTATGTTATAATTCTCTAACAACATCTGCAGTGATAATGAGGTGGCATGGTATGTTATAATTCTCCAACAACATTTGCAGTCATGCTGAGGTAGCATGGTATGCTATAGTTCTGCAACAACGTTGCTCTTTTGAAGTATGGAATTCATAATGCACTATGGATTGCAAATGAAGAAAGGCTCCTTGAATCTGATTGCAAATTAGGTCAAGTGACATAAAAACAATTATAAAAACCACTATGGGTGTGGGTATATAAAAATAAATTTTCTTTGTGTCTTACTAAAAACATTGCTGTGGATGAAGTTTGAAGGGGACAAAACGTCCTACGGGTGTTTGGTAAGCAGTGAAACTTCAGATCATGGATTTTTTGGTTTAGTTGATTCCATAAAACATCATAGCTCTTCTATTTGAAATGCCTCATTATACTCGGCAATATGCATTATGGTTAAATCTACACTTTGATGATAGCATCTTATGTGACACATCTTAATCTCACAGGTGCTAGAAGTTGATTCCAGAGGAAAGAGCTTTTATGTTCATTATCAAGTACGTATAATTGATCAAATATCTAATCTATCCAAGTGCTTTTAATTCTCAAAGGATGTACTTATAGTTAATTGTGATCGTAGCTAATGGCTTTTCTGTGTCTGGATTTATAGAACATCTTTGTGGAACTCAATAACATTTGCTTTTTGATTTTGCAGGGTTGGAAGAAAAAGTGAGTATATCTTTTTTGTTCTTTTTATACAAATTCTGTTGTGATTTATACTCGAGTTTACATAACGCATTTGGTTATATTTGATTTATAATGGTTAAAATAGTATATTTTCCTGTCATTGTTTTTCATTTCATATTATTTTGTTTCACAATAGTGGTTACATGGTACAAGTACTTTTCACTTGGATGTTATTGATTTTTTGTATACTTCTCAGACAGTGTGCCCTTATTATTTTAGATTTCTGTTTTTAAAGACTGTTGAGCTGTTTAATTGTATTGGCTCTAGTAAATATTGCTATTATTATGATGAGAGATAGGTAAGTATCATATTATGATGTTCATTAGCATACTGAAGAGAATAATAAATGCATTGTTAGATGAGGGAATTTTGGAGGTCATTGGATCAAGAAATTATTTTTATTTTGCTGAATGGCTTCATTAATTACCAGTGTTTACTTGTTGGACCTTTTTCGTTTGATAGATGGGATGAGTGGGTAGGCGTGGATCGTCTCATGAAACACGACAAAGAGAATCTCCAAAAACAGAAAGCACTGGAGAAAGAACATCCCTTGGCGAAGATGACAAAGTCTGGGCGTGCATTGTTGCAGAAGTCCAAGAATCCCAACGGTTAGAAATATCATGCTACTCATCCTAGCTTCTTATATATATAGTCTATATACTATATTATAAAGCATTTGACAAAAACTCTTAAAAACCGTTATTTATGCATGAAGTACTATGTATTAATGCATGTTACTTAAAATTTAAGATCATAAGTAAATTTACAACTTGTTAAAGCTTCATTTTTGAATTCGTATAACTAACTGCAGATAAACATAATCAAATATAGGATAAACATCTCATTTTAGATCTGAAAAATTTAAAATATAATTAAGATAATCATTGAGTTATAACATAATCATTATCTTTATAAAAAAATTATTGTTAATCCAAAAATAAATTACTTCCTATTTGACCTAAATTAAATTATAATAAAAAATTGAATTAAAGAAATTGTACAAAAAATGAGAACTTTTAAATAGTTAATTTGATATTAATATCGATATATTTTTTTCAAATTTTTATGTTGTCTTCAAATTTATTTTTATTCAAAAGTAAAAACATTAATTTTCTCAAAACCACATAAATCGTATTATATCAATAGAGACAAAAAATAAAACAAAACATTAAAATGAAGATGTATCTCGCTGTATTGCACGAGTACCCTTCTAGTATATTATAAAGCATTTAGGTTTTTGTTCTGAAAAACACTAATTTTTTCAAGAGTACAACCTATAAAACATTAAGTATAAATTTTAATGCATACAAAATCCTTTTAATTTCTAAAATATTCCTATTTTACCCTTCTTTAAATGGTAAAAATAGAGTTTTTGGCAACCTCTACTATCCTTTCCACATATAGAGTCAATCAACCAAATAAACAACAAAATATTTGAATTTGTTTGGAAACTTATCTCACAATGGATCCATTTCCCAAAAAACAGAAAATCATAAGAAAAATAAATTTAAAACAATGCAGTTTTTGGTTAAATTTTATATTCTGCTGCATTGCACATGTACTCTTCTAGTGAGCTATAATTGATGTTTCTTGTTTTTCCATGATGTTAGAATACTGTTTTAACCATTTTTTTCGACTGGCAAATTTAGCAATCAGTGAATGTCTTCCTTTATTCATATCCATAAGTATGGTCGGTGGGATCAACCATGCTTGTAGAAATGTTAAAACCTTTCTTTACACTCCGTGTTCTTGGTCAAACCATTTTTCCATATTCAGGCCAAATGTATTGCACAGAATAGACTATAAGGAGAGACCCGCTTATCATGTAACTTACCAATTATGTAGTTATTTATGACTACTGTAAATTACTTACCATCAACTTTCAACATAATAAATAATCATTTCGAGCAATAAGTGGAGTTTGGACTTCCGCTGCCTTTTGTTTTCTTTCTATTTTAGTAAATATTAGTCAGTGTTCTAGGCTCCCAACAATATGGGGTCTGAGAACCACCTAATGAATGCCTCACCCCTCCGAGCGAAGGGGGTATTTCCGTGATCTGGTGTAGCACAGCCTTATTGATGCACCAAGTGTATGTGTAAAACGAGTTTCAATATTTCTCATATTTGGAGCAAAATGAGAAATAATTGAACTATGATGGTTAACCCTTGTTAAACTTGGATTTTTTCCTTTAACATATTGCAGTGACAAGAGGCAAAAAGAGGAAAGCTATGTCCAAGGTATTTCCCTTTTTGTTTGTTTTAATATCAATCATAATGCTTCTCTAAGAATTTTTTTTGTGTGATATTTTTCTCATTGAAATGCACAATGGTAGTTCTGTGTTGCTTCTTCCATGATAGTTAGCTTATGAGATGTTGCTCATTTATATTGCTGTTGCTTACTCGTATCTAATTTTTCAAACTTAGCATATTTGTCTTTCCCTATTTCTTCTCCTATTTGTATTGCTATTGCTTACTCATCTCTAACTCCTCATTGTTGAGTGTATCTGTTTTTCTACCTATCTCACACTCTGCACTAGCCGGGGGTCTACATACATCATACCCCCCCCCACCTCACCTCAGGGTGAGAATACCACTTTGCTCTGTCAAAACCAGTCAAAGTGGGTTTTCACAGTAACAANCCCCCCCCAATGCACCTCGAGATGGGATTTGCTGGGCTCGTTTGGTTTGGTTTTAGTCAATAATTTGTGAAAACCTGTTGCCAAGAACACACACACATTTATATGTAGAGAAAGAGGTTCAAACGAGAACAATGTAAAAAATAAGAAAACACAAAAACGCCTATATCACATGGGATTTTACACTTAAATCAATGTGATTACAGGCGACCTAGGTCGGGGGCCAAGTCGCCTCGCACACCCATGTCTTGACCATTTTTCATAATTAAATGTGATTTCAGTGTATAATTACATATGACATAGGCGTTCTCGTTTTTTTTATTACCTTGTACTCTTTTGAACCCAGCCCTATATATATGTGTCTGTATTTGTGAAAAGTTAACATCCTTGAATACTTTGTAATATACTTACATTATTTGCTCGAATCTCATATGACTTATTGGGTATTGTTTTGGTGCATTAATGAATCAACAAATAAAGTAAACCATTTATAATTGTTTGTTGCTGCATAATATTAACAGTTTGCATCAAGAGTTAACAAATAAGTGCTTTGTTAAAATTGCAGCATATGAGACATTCTATGCAATTTTGTTTACTTATTTCTATTGTATTTGCTCTGTTCAACATACTTGTTCAATCCAACTGAAGGTTACAGAGACATTTCTATTGATCTTATTTTGCTTGCTTTCTGGTTCTGATGCACTTCCACTAAAATGATGTTTACTGCTTTTGAATTTTGTAACTTTTTTACGGTTTTTAAGCTTTGGACCTAACTCTATTTCTTTTATTCAAGGGCACTGCGTCTTATGAAAATCTCATTGATGTCCAAATACCACCGACATTGAAAAAGCATCTGGTTAATTATTGTGAATACATAACTCATATGGGCAAGGTAACCAATGACTGAACTTCCATTCTTTTTGGTCGAGTTGTTTTCTGAAATTTTTTTTTCTGGTTTGCAATCCCAAATAGTAATTAATTTCTTCAACTAACCTCATGTCAATATGACATCGACACCTCTATCTTTTTTCTCTCGTCCACTACCATTTAATTTTGATATGCACACCTACTGTTTCAAGAAAAAAAAAGATATGCACCCCTACATTTACATAATAACCCCCCTACAGTTACCTATTGTCCCCATACCTTTACACATGTCGAAATTTGATTCCATACCTTTAAACATGTCGGAATTTGATTGGAGGAGCAGGGAAGAAAACAAGGAAACAGGTGATTTTAATAGTTATGTTTTTGAACTTCAAATCTGAAGTTTTTGGCTATCAGAAGAACCTGCAATCATTTCTGTTTTGCTAATACATGGTGTACACTAGAAATAGTAATTAGTTTCTTCTTCAACTAACCCTCATGTCAATATTCATATAATCTACCAGATTTATATGGTTGTATCCAAATTTGTAATGGAGATTAGAAACAGAAAACACAGTTGTTGCTGGAGCGTTGTCCATGAGGAGCATCATTAGAAGTTATAAGTTTCTTTTGCGTAGCAGCAGGTAGATATAGAATCAGTTGTTAATCTTAAAAAAACCTTAAAAATACAAAGGGGACTGAGAGTAATAATCAAACAAAGTGATGCATGTCAAAACATGTCCAATTTCATCAGTCTATCAAATGCAGCTCTCTTTTAGCTAATCACAACGTATCATAGAAGCCTTTTGCACGACCTATGAGTAAGTCTGTGCTTAACTACAGTATTTATTACATGGTGATCTTTCTATTGACCAAATCATAATCAGGGTTACATTATGTGCCCTGCTATTTATTGATTGAAGTTCGATTTTTGAAGGCCGATTAATTTTCATCTCTGTATTGTTTTTTTCCCAATCCTTTCTTGCAGCTCGTGAAACTTCCATGTTCTCCAAATGTTGATGACATATTGAGGCTGTATCTGGAGCATCGGTCGAAGCAGGATGGCAGGTTTATTCTCTTTTTTCACATGCATTGCATATTATCTTTAAAGTTATAATTATTTTATTTCTATTAATGTTTTAGCCTTATGCGAATGCATATTCGCTATATTCTTTGTCATTATTGTTTTAGTTGCGACATGCATGTTAAGGCTTTTACTAGCTTGGGGACATATCGATTAAGGAATCGCATGTAAACTCAGCCTGACAGGAATGATCGATTCACGTTCATCTTTAGCTTAGTTAGTAAGGACAAAATGCCATTTGGCCTGAATGATTTCTGATAAATTAACAAAAAAATGATTTTGGTTCTTATGTGAGGGTTGGAACCTGGAATGGAAACGGATCCAGAAAATTCCCCGAGCGGAGGCACAAAATACTTTATGTAATGTAAAATAAAACATAATTTAATCAAAAAAAGTATGGCTTACTTAATCGACATACAAGTGGTTTTTTGCAACACCACCCAAATGGGTTTTTTCCTTTTTTGCTCTGTTCCCAAAAAACTGAAAAAAAGACCCAAAGGAATTTGAATCCGCAACCTATAATGCCACCGCATACAATGACACTACCAGTATTTTTCAAATTTTGCCCCGTATATTTTTTCATTTAATTTTTCAACATGTTCTTTTAGGTTGTTTTACTTTGTCATCTAGCTTGTCAGCTAGTTCTTTTTTCTTTCCTTTTTTTTTCTTCCAAAAATGACTAGTTTATCTGCTAGCTTATCAGGTAGTTTGCAAACATAGCCTTAGAAGGTGGCTAAACTGTATTGATGCTTATGCAACTTTAGATCTGTCACCGAAACACGCCCAGCCACCTATTTATGGAGAGGCATATACTCTCATAGCTTACACAAGTTTGGATTGCCATATTAGTTTAAGATGGTATGCTATGCCGATTTTTTTATTTCTTGAAGACGACTAAACCGACATTGTTATTATGTCAACATTATATGGTGGATGAAGGGTTTCTGATTCCACTGGAGAAATTCTAAGTGGATTACGTTGTTACTTCGACCAAGCATTGCCCGCAATGCTTCTTTACAAAGGTGAACGTCGGCAGTATGAAGAAGCAACTGCAAATGGAATTTCCCCTTCAAAAATTTATGGAGCTGAACATCTGCTACGTCTTTTTGGTATGCTCACTTTGTTTTCTGTTATAAAATTGAGTAATACGTGCTTATTGTCAAAAACTTCTACCAAATAGCAGGTAGAAAGATATGTTTGCTGGCATACTATGATAAAATTCGCTCAACCTTTTCTAATAGGGAAAAATGCATCACCATGCAATGGAAGTTTGCCTTAGTTCCTATTAAGTGCAACGAATAATTTTTCTCAATCGATGTAACAAAGTTCCAAATTTTCTTATTTTGTACCCATTTTGACCGGCAACCTGTTGATTTTGTAACATTTGACGATGTGGATGCCAAGTTTGTCGCCCACTTTGTCATAACCTGTTCGTAAAGCTTCCGTAAATGGGTGTACATGTCATTAAATGCTACAACATCAGGCGGTTACGGGTCGAAATGGATAGAAAATAGAAAATTTTGCAAATCTGTTACGTTGAATTGAGAAAAAAAATTGTTCTTTATGCTAAATAGGAACTAAACAAAAATTTGTGCATTTTGATGCATTTTTCCCTTTCTAACTTCTTCCCAGCTGGTTCTGCTTGCAGCTTTTTGTATGAGCCCACTTCTTTTATTAGGTTTATTGCCTTCAAATCGACAAAAGCAAAATGATAAGAAAGCATGAACCTCAGAGGCAGCATTCATTTTCTTTCCAAGATTTGTAAGCTCTAGGGGCCCCTTTACCGAACGCTTACTGTGTAAGTGCTTACCGGGTGAGCATGGCGAGGACCTATAATCTTACCTGGTAAAAGGAATAGCATGGACAGATAATCTTACTCGGTAAGTTAGAGAGAAGATTCTTACCCGGTTAGCTATTACCGGGTAAGAGACGCTTACCAACAATCCATTTTGGTAGCCGAGAATGTTACTTGATAAGGTAAGTAAGGGTGGTGACTTTTGGTGGTAAGCACTCACCCGGTGAGCGTTTGGTAAACGACACCTTACAAACCAAAATGGTTGGTTATGATGGAAGTTAGCAGTTGAAGCTCTATGACATACCAACATATGATGGTTGGCTTTGTAAACCAACAAAACTAGCTGGAATAACATGCAACAATCATAGATCTAGTTATAAATTCATTCCAATTCTAACAAGTAGCTTCAACAATTGCATTCCATAAGCTTTTCTTCTAGTTTATTTTCTAATATCTCATGAATTTACAGTTAAATTGCCCGAGATATTGTACCATGCTAACATCCAAGAGGAGACGTTGACCGAGCTGCAACACAAGTTACAAGACTTTCTCAAGTATGATGACTCCTCTTTTTTCTAGAATTCAAGGCTCTTCTTTAAGAATAAAAATCTGCTGTCCAAAAATTCACCGTCCCCTCCCTGTCCCACCTAGGGACGGAACCCAATTTGTTTTTCAAATGGTGGCACCATTTAACTATAAGAAATAAATATACGAATATTTTTCACAAAATCATCATTAGTCTGTTGGTTAGTTCATTGCTTTTCATATGAAGTTCCGTTGTTCAAGTCTTTTATTGTAATTTTTTTCTCGGAAACATAATAAATCTGAAATTAACAGTTAAAAACTAAGAAAATGACACTAACTGGATTCGAACTCGAGTTTGGGGTGGAAGGAAAGCCTTGTAACCCAACTCTTCCAAGGAAAACTTGTGTTCTCATTGTAATTTTAATTTATATACGTTGACACACAACAAATTGATACGGTGACACTTTTCATGACCCTATAACTTTTTACACTATGACGGAGGAACGGGACGGTGGCATGTGCCACCATGAAAACCCCCTGGGTTCATCCTGCTCCCACCAATCGAGTGAAGACACATCATTATTAAATATAATATAACTTTATTTAGTTCATGTTTACTTTCTCTTTGATGATATGTAATTCACCTGGTTGGTGATGGTAAAGGGATAGGGAGTTTTGGGACAACATATTTTCTTCCCTTATTTAATAGGTTTATAATCCAAAAGTTTTCCATTTCCGTCGACTTGGTGCTCCCATTATCATACGTGCTTATTGAAGTCTAGCTTTTTTGTGCAGTATGCCTAATTTAGCTCATGTCTAGCAATCATAAACTAGCTTATTTTTGAGCTTATTGAATAAGACTTGTTTCAGTAGCTCTAAGCTAGCTTTTTGAAAAGGTAGTGTTCGAATAAGCTCCCGGGGCTTTTTTTCACTTTGAGTAAATTATGTTTTTCATCCCCGTGTTTGTTAAAAATTATGATTCTCTTCCCTGTAGTTTAGAAATTATGGTTTCTATCCCTATGTTTGTAATTCATTGTTATTTTTGTCCTCGTGATTTATTATTTCTTGTTGTTTCGTTCTATTTTGGTCCCTTGTACTTAAAGGTATGAATTAACGTAAGAACTAAAATGGCAATAACTTGTAAACCATAGGGATGAAAATCACAATTTCTAAATTACGGGGACAGAAATGCAAATTGTTAACAAACCACAGGGGCGAAAATCTTAACCTTTTTTCCATTCTCCTTATATTTAGTTTTCCAACATGTCTTTTTAGGTCATTTTATTGTCAACTAGTTTATCAACTATCTTATTCGCCAACTAATTTTTCATCTGATAACTAGCTTATCAGCTCTGCCATTTTGCCAAACATAGCCTTAAACCTAATCACACGATTTTACCATCTTATAATGCAGGTTCTTGCAGAAGAAAGAAAGTTCGTTCTTTCTATCCACCTATGAGACACCAAATGGTTCTTGCACTATCGAGAAACGTGATTTAGCTATAAAACATATACATACCAACCAAATCATGTTTGGGTAAATGTTTTAACCCATTCGTCGTAAAGGCTTTCACATGGAAAGCCACTGCAGCCAAAGAAGATATATAAAGATTCAAGACCAACCAAAGCGCTCCTCCCTTCGTAAAGTGGACCCCATCTTTCTGAATATGTCGAGTTCCTCAGAAGCCGAAATTTTAAACTAAAAGTCGATTCACTACTTACCTAACTGCAGGTTATGGTTATGGCGTGATAGATTTTTCATGGTTCTGATGGCATGTTGTTGTGTTCGAAGAACTGTGTCGGTTTAACTAGTAGTTTTACCATAACATGACCATGTGAAATGTTGTTACTATGATGGTTTACAGAAGAATGTAAGGTTGTTTTCAGTTCATACAGTTGCATAAACAGTCGAGGGTTTGAGAATAGAGAATAGCAGCTGCAGTGGGGGAGTTGTATGCTTTTTGGGGTTTAAGCGCAACCCAACCCAACCCAACCCAAACCGTACGAGTTGGTCGGGTTGATACTTTGGTATATTAAAGTATTCTTCTATCATTGAATATGTTATTTCTCTACTCATAATTTCTTTTTCATCATCAACCATTTGATACAACTTATCCATACTTTTCACGTATAATTGTCTAATGTATAATTGAAAATACGTGTATATGAAGAGCGTACATGATAGTATAATTGTCTAATGTATATACTAATAGAAATTTAATAATCATATTAAATCCAAGAAATAAAAAGATATCGGGTTCATCGGGTTGGGTTGAGTTCAAATAATAGTAACCCAATATCTACGGCTTGAAAATTTTATAACTCGATTAGACATCAGATTGCTTCGAGTTGAGTTATTTTACATTGGATTGAGTTGGATTGATCGGGTTTGTCGGATTTTTTAGCACCCCTAGCTACAACCTCTCAAATTTCAGTACAAAAAATTTGTAACTATTTTTATAGTGAATTTTGGAAGACCATAACTCTTGTGAATCAGGGTCAAAAATATAAGTTCCTAAAACATATAACTTTCTATGATTGAAATTTGTGAATTTATATTAGTTTATTTGTATGATGTAATATAATATATTAAAAAAATTCAAAATTTATGTTTTAACAAATACAAACTACAAGTAGTAATTGAAAATATGTTGCTAATATGAAAATCTTTTAAAAAAATTCTCTTTTTCTAGTATAATTAGGTTGATTAAAAAATGTGTATTTAAATTAAAGGTGTAATTATGTCTAAAAAGAATTAAAATTTTAGTTTTAACGATGAAATATATTTCTATTTAAAAATAATAATGAAAAGTATTATATTATATTTGAATCAAACAGTTATTATTTTAAAAGTTGTTAACTTAACCGGTCTTTAAAAAAAACTATAAATTTTAAATAATCACCTATTTCTCCTTCAGAAATATAAAATGGGAAATAACCCACATTGATGTGACAAAAATATTTGATAATATAAAATTAAATAAAAAATATTCAATATTGAGTTTATTTTAAAGTTATTGATAAGACGATCATAATGATGTAATCCGTAAAAAAAATGTATTTTAATTAATATACACTTATGTATCTTAGTATAATGAAATTGTAGAATGAAAAATGAAAATTACATTTCCTTTCAATTTCTTTTACATAACTGATCTCGTCGTCATCTTCTTCGCCCCTCACTTCACTACCGCGTCATAGTTGGATTTCGTCCATGTGGTTACAGAGATCTTCTCCAAAACCGTAGCCGCTAAAATCTACGGGTGAAGTGATCACCATAGAAGAGCTTATTAGAGCAAGGTATGTTTTTCTGGAAGCTTGATTTAGGAAATTATGGATGACATTTTGGTGTCACTGCATTATTAGCGATTCATGTGATGGGTGTTGTGAGTTGATAATAGAAAAAGGCAATCTGAAATGTGGATTGAAGATGAATGTACCTATTGATTTCAGTTCTTCTTGTTTGAATATGAATTGAATCACCATTCACCACTGAGGAACATATAAACCCTAACAATCTACTGGAGGAGCATATCTACTACCTGGCTCATGGTAGGTCTTGCATCCTTATTTTCATTAGCACATTGCAAAGCCACTTTGATCAGAATTTCCATTCGAGTACTATCATATTCTCCATTCACCGTGGAATCTACTATTTCTTTGATCCAGTTACTCTTTCCACCATATGCATATCCCTCAGCTGCAGCAGCAGCAACCTTCTCTCGCACCCATCTAACCGTCATAGTCATTCCCTCGTATCCACCACTTGGATTGCTGCCTTTTGGGCTCTGTCCAGTTATCATCTCCAGCATCACCATTCCGTAGCTATACACATCTACTTTGGAGGTTATTGGATGACTGATAAAAAACCATTCTGGAGCCATGTAACCTCTTGTCCCTCTTGCCTCTGTGAATTCCAAGTTACCTCTTCCATCTCTATCCAAAAATTTAGACAGTCCAAAGTCTGCAACTTTTGGAAGGTAATCTTGATCCAGTAATATGTTATGAGGCTTTACATCGCAATGCAAAACCCATTCCAAGCATTCTTCATGGAGATAAGCAAGTCCTTTTGCGGTACCCACTGCAACTTCAAATCGTTTATCCCAATCCAGCTTATTCGAATGTAGATTGTCAGCCAATGATCCATTCTCCATGTACTCATAAACCAAAATCCTATGCTTTCCTTCAGCACAATAACCCCATATATCTATCAAATTCATGTGATTAAGCCTCCCAAGTGTACTTATCTCTGCTAAAAATTCAGCTTCCCCTTGGTTGCTACTAGCTTCTTTGAGACGTTTAATGGCTGCAACTCGGTTGTCTGACAGGAATCCTTTATACACAATTGCACCACCTCCTCTGCCTATCTCGATACTGAAATTTTTAGATGCCTTCCTTAGATCCGCATATCTGAACCGCTCAAATCCTGTAGCAGCTTGAAGGTAACCTTGGGATTTTGTAACTGAACTTCTGGTTTTGTATAAGAAGTAGATTATGCAAATCATCTCCAAGGCACCGAAAACATAGGTGAATAGTAGTAAGTACTTGACAGATCCTCTTTCTTTCTTCCTGTCGTAAACTCGTTCGAGCTGTACGATTTTCGGATGCCCAGAACAGTTTAAGCTGAGTTCTTGAATAGATTTATTGGTGTTAGAAGATAGGGTACTTGCAGGCACTTTTAGATAGAAGGAACCATTAAAGCTCACCGAGCTAAATCCGTTCAGCAACAGAAATTTCGGGTAACAAAGAAAAATGCCTTGTTTCATGTCATACTTGTACTGAAACCCTTTGCAATTGCTGATGTTCGTGCACTCTTTCTTGCATGCATCTAAGGTTGTGTTGGGCAAGTACTTTGAGTCGTACCCATAGAAATCAAAATGAGGATAGTATACAAAACTATCCTCACCGTTACCTCGGAATGCTGGTTTACAACCATATGACCAATCAGTTTGATTAATCATCTTGTGATATGGTAAGCAAGTGCACTTCCTACCATAAGTCGGCTCATTAGAACACGTACTGTTTTCTCCACAACTTCCATGAATGGTGCAAGTTTGTGCTATAGCTTGCCAAGTAACTTTCCAGATTCTTCTGGTTTCGTCCAAACTATATACTCGGAAGTTGCCATCGACATCCATGGTCGCCCTTCGCAGGAGCTGATCTCCGTTATCCGAAGTGTTGAAGAACAGATTGTCACTTGAGATAAAACGTCCAAACTGATCGATGGTTGCCGTCTTTTCACTGCCGTAGGTGCTCCTGCCAGCATCCCAAGCTCGAAGCTCAGGATTTGGCCAATAAATGCCTGTAACCTTAGGTCCACTATAGACTAGTCGAAGAACATTATCGTTATCAAAAAAGAGCTTGTAGAAACCTGAAGAATAATTGGTTGGGCTTCTTGAAGAAACCAGCATGGCATCTTTGGTGAGTGGTTGATTGGGAAGAAGCGTATCGGTCGGGAATCCAAAACTCTGCCATAGAATCTGTCCATCTTTACTTTGAAGGTAAAGATTTCCAGAATTATTCAATTTCAAGTGTGCAGAAGCTGTTAAATCTCTCGTTCTTGTGGTCCAAACGAGCAGCTCTTGATCTGCATCCTGTAAAACCAGATTACCGGTTTTGGACAGCGAAAGCTTTGAGCGTGCTCCATTGACCGGTGCATCGCGGTTAGCCATCCAAACGACGGTTAGCTGACCATCGGACAAGGGTTCAGTGAACCATATAGAGAAGCAAAACGCGTTCTCCCCGACTTTGTAGAATCCGGCGGTGAAAACACGGTCGGGTGAGAGCAAGAAATCATCTTTGGTATCAATAGAGAGAGATGAGCCTAGTTTTAAGGCATATGGTGGTGAAGAAGATGAAGATGATGAGGTTGTGAATGGTGATGCACATAACATTACTGAAAGAAGCAGAAGAAAGTGAAGTAGGAGATCCATTTTGATGGCATACATCCTTAAACGTGGATGTTATTTATAAATGTAGCCAGGATAACACTAGACCTTAGACCCTGGCCAAAAAGTGATATTTGTGCTCTGTATAGAGTATATTATAAAGCATTTGATAAAAACTCTTAAAAATCATTTTTTATGCATAAAGTACTATTTATTAATCCATATTACTTAAAACTCAAGATTACAAGTAGATTGTGCGTAAGTACAACTTATTAAAGCTTAATATCTGAATTCGTGTAACTAATTGCAGATAAACATATCAAATACAAGATAAACATCTTATTTTAAATATAAAAAATCTAAAATATAATTAGGATAATCATTGAGTTCTAACAGAATATTTAATTATTAT